GGGGTGGGGGGGGTCAGGGCCGTGGGCCCCTCACCGGAGGTGGGGTCCGGTCGCGTTTGCCCCTGAAGCACGGGGCGCCGGCGTGCTCCAGGCCGAGGGCGATGCATGAGATGGTCTCCGGGCAAAACGGGGCTGGGGGGGCAACGCTTTATTCGGTACCCAGACGCGCTGATCAAGGCGATATTGGAAGAGAGATGACAGCTCACGTTGGTACTGGAGCGATGGCAGTGATTGATTTACGACCTTGTCAGCAGGCCCAGTGCTGCCCTGAGAACCAGGAGCAGCTTTCACACAGAGGCAGGGGGAAGATGTGGAGCGAGAGCTCAAACAGTGGGGCTGGGGCTGAGATAAACACCGCAGAGCTGGAGCCGAAATAAAATGTTTAAGGGCGGAGGTAGACCTGAAATAACAACCATGGGGCTGGAGCTGAAGTAAAGATTGTAGGGCTAAAGAGGAAAGAAACGCAGGGGGCTGGAACTGAAATATCGACTGTGCCACTGAAATAAAAACCTGGGCCTGAAACACAGATCAGGGCTGGAGCTGAAATAAAGATTGTGGGTCGGGGCAGAAATACAGACTGTAGGGCTGGGGCTGAAGTGACGCAGAGCTGGAGCTGAATTAAATGCTGTAGGGCTGGAGCCAAAATAAAGACCGTGGGACAGGGGCTGAAACACTGACCGTAGGGCTGGAATAAACACTCCAGGGCTGGAGCCGAAATGACAGAGAGCTGGAGCCCAAACAGAGACTGTGGGGCTGGGGCTGAAATAAAGATTGTATAGCTGAGGCTGAAATACGGACCCCGGGGGTGGGGTGGAAACAGGCTGCGGGGCTGGAGCTGAAATAAAGCCTCTAGGGCAGGGGCTGGGGCTGAAATAAAGACCCTGGGGCTGCTGCAGAAATATAGACCACAGGACTGGAGCCAAAATGCTGCGGAGCTGGAGCATCCATCGGCTGCAGCTGCAACAAGCTGTTGCTTCAACAACCAGAGTTTTCATTAGTAAGAGAGGGAACAAGCCAGAGTTTCCGTCAGCCGGAGCTGTGAGCAGCAGGAGCATCTCTCACCTGGAGGGTCCAGCACCTCGCCTGCAGCCAAAATGACACAGGGCTGGAGCCTCAACAAGCCGGAGTCTTCGTTAGCAGGAGAGGGAACAAGCCCGAGTTTCCATCAGCGGAGCTGTAAGAAGCAGAAGCCTCTCTCACCTGCAGCGCCCAGCATCTGGGGCTGAGATCGCCGGGGCCGGGGCCGGGGCTGCTGCCGGGCCGCGAGCAAGGCTCGGAGGGAGGGTTACGGTCGGAGGGATCGGGGGGCGTCGGGTACCGCACTCGA